TGCCCATGCCCCACAGCGTCATCTGTGTGCAACGGGGTACAAGGGCAGAGTCTTGTCCCCACTGTCCGGCTACCATGTACTTGGCTGCACTGCTTCGTGTGGGCCGCACCCAGGGGCGACTCTCCTCCGGGGGGGGGGCTGCTGGTGAGGATGGGGCTGTGGGGGGAGGCAGGGCTGAGGAGACAATGTGTGTGCCCACAGAGAGGGCTCCGAGTGCCACCTCTGGCACCTGTGCCATAGGTTCACCACCACTGGTCTAGTGTATCATATAGTAGCAATCCAAGGGCATCTGGGCATTAGAACATTCACAAGCAGGATATGAGTGGACAACCTTCTTTTATTGTGGCTTCCTAACATCCAGTTTGGTGTAGTAGCTAAGGTGTTTGCTTAGGAGATGGGAGACAGTGAGTTCTAGTTCCGTCTTGGGCATAAAAGCTAACTGGATGACTTTGGGCTAATCACCAGGAGTCTGTGAGTTCTAGTTTCGTCTTGGGCATAAAAGCCAGCTGGGTAACTTTGGGTCAATCCCCAGGAGACCATGAGTTCTAGTCCCACCTTAGCTATGAAAGCCAACTGGGTGACTTTGGGCCAATCCCCAGGAGACTGTGAGTTCTAGTCCCAGTTTAGGCAGGAAAACCGGCTGGGTGACTTTAGGCCAGGGGTCTTCAAACTTGGCTCTTTTATGGCTTGTGGACTTCAACTCCCAGAATTCAACAAGTCATAAAAGGGCCAAGTTTGAAGACCCCCTTGCTTTAGGCCAATAATTTTCCCATGCTGGCTGGGGAATACTGGGAGCTCCCACCCTTCTTTTTGGCCTTAAGTACAGTTATTTTTTCAGCCTGGTCTCCATCAAAACCATTCCTCAAGGCTGTTTGCTACAGGCAAAGTTTCCTGATCCCGGAAAGATACTGGTGATAAAAGGTGTCTTTGTGCTTTATTTCCTTTAATAAATTGGTACGAGATTTATTTTGGTATGTATGAATACAGGATTAAGTAGATTATTTCTATCTTAGACACTGAGTTCATTGTGAGGTTTTTTTTCCCTCTTCCATTCAATCAAGTCCAATTTTCAGAGACTACCCAGATAAGTCCCTGCAGTTTTCTTGGCAAGGTTTTTCAGAAGCAGTTTGGTTTGTCATTGCTTTCTTCCTAGGGCTGAGAGAAAGTGATTAGCTCAAAGTCATCCAGCTGGCTTTGTGCTCCTGGTCTCCCAATTTCTAGCCCCATGTCTTAATCACCACAACAAACTGGCTCTCTGCATTCTTTATTGTTGTTGTTAGTTGCAAAGTCGTGTCCGACCCATTGCGACCCCATGGACAATGTTCCTCCAGGCCTTCCTGTCCTCTACCATCTTCTGGAGTCCATTTAAGCTCACGCCTACTGCTTCAGTGACCATCCAGCCACCTCATTCTCTGTCGTCCCCTTCTTCTATTGCCCTCAATATTTCCCAGCATTAGGCTCTTCTCCAGTGAGTCCTTCCTTCTCATTAGGTGGCCAAAGTCCTTGAGTTTCACTTTCAGGATCTGGCCTTCTAAAGAGCAGTCGGGGTTGATCTCCTCTAGGACTGACCGGTTTGATCGCCTTGCAGTCCAGGGGACTCGCAGGAGTCTTCTCCAACACCATAGTTCAAAGGCCTCAATTCTTTGGCACTCGGCCTTTCCTATGGTCCAACTTTCACAGCCATACATTGCAGCATTCTTTATTACTGCAGCCATTGCTAGAATTAACACAGTGCTTTTCAAGAATCATCATTTTTTTTAAAAAAAAAAAGAAATGCGTCTACCCTGAAATTTCTGGAAAATTGCAGACTTGTTTTAAGCATAATTCCTTATCATCTATCTTACAGCCCGACAAAGAGTTAAAACAACCTAACTGGTTAAATACAGTTTTGATTTTTAAGTTAAATCCCAAGTGGATCTTTTTGAAGTAGCTGTCTTCAGAATGTTAACAGCGGCCTCTAGTGGCCACTGCGTTAGAAAACTCAACTGCAACTGCACCGAAAACTTTAAAAAAGAAACAAGCTGAAAATGCTAACCTAGAAGAGAGCTTTCCAGTCTTAGCACTGTAGCTTTAAGAGGTCTGGATTTCAACTCCCAGAATTCTCATGCTGGCTGGGAAATTCTGGGAGCTGAAGTCCAGATTTCTTATAGTTATTAAGGTGGAGAAACACTGACCTAGACTAGCTCATGAAAATGGAAAGAAAGGAAGCAGCACCGAAAAGCATCTGACAGCAACTTTGGTGGGTTCTGATTCTGGGAATCATCTTATGAGAGAGGAGGAAAGCAAGGGATGCACATTCAAGGCAGGTATTTTGGGCTTCTTTCCAAATGGTATTTAGGGACCAGCTTCTAACTTAACTACGTTGTCAGGGCAGAGACTTTAAAGTACAGTATGTCATTTCTCAATTTTTAGACAATTGAGCGGTATGTGTGGTGTTTCCAGGCACCTGGAACCTGTGACCTATTGGGATCACACTAATGAGTTTCAAGACGACAAAACCAGTCAAAGAGAGCTCAGTGTAATTTAGTTTACTATGGTGCTATATTGGTTAGATCAGTGGTTCTCAATCTGTGGGTCGGGACCCCATTTGGGGTCGAACGACCATTTCACGGGGGTCGCCAAACAACGCAGTCCGCCATTTTTTCCCCCTTTTCCTTAGCTGTGCTACTCCCTTTTATTCTATTGGCTTTTGAAAGCCAATAGAATAGACTCTCTTGAATAGAGTCTAATTCTATTGGCTTTCAAAAGCCATTAGGAATTGTCCATCCAGGCTGTCTCTGCCCTGCTGAGCCCACCAAAAGTCCCATTCTGCAAACGGTGCTGCATCAGTTGAGTAGTCCTCGACTTACGACCGGTTGGGGGTCGCGGCATTAAAAAGGTTGAGAACCACTGGGTTAGATTAATCTTCTTTCCTTCAAAACCATGGCACTTCTTCTTTTGGGTGCCTGGGAGGGTGTTTGGTGGGGTTTGTCTGTTTTAATTGTATAATAAGACATCAAGAGTCACTTGTATGAGATAGATTGATAGGTAACCAGATCAGCGGTTCTCAACCTTTCTAATGCCCTGATCCCTTAATACAGTTCCTCATGTTGTGGTGACCCCCCAACCATAAAATTATTTTCATTGCTATTTCATAACTGTAATTTTGCTACTGTTATGAATCGTAATGTAAATATCTGATATGCAGGGTGTATTTTCATTGTTACGAATTGAACATAATTAAAGCATAGTGATTAATCACAAAAACAATATAGCAATGCTCGATGGAGAACCTTATTCTTCCTTGCTGCCTGTATTTTGTTTATATACCTATCTAGTTACTAGATAGGTATATAAACAAAATACAGGCAGCAGAATAAATAAGAGATAGAAAAAATGTGAGGGAATTCTGCCACATAACACACTATACGTAACAACTTTCAATAAGACAAAAAATTCACCACTATTGCAAAAATAAAAAAAAGTCTGGATAGTGGACGTGGCAGTAAATGCAGACAGCAGAACAGAAGAGAAAGAACTGGAGAAGATAACAAAATACAAAGTCCTGCAAACAGAAATATGTCATATAATACATGTGGGAATATGCATAATTCTGTATAATTTTTTTGTCATATTTATGTAGTGTATATCGGAGGTGGTGACCCTTTGAGAGCTGTATGCAACGGAATTTCATTTTAATGTATGCCGATCAGTGTACATTCAAAATGACACTAAAGTTATTATTCTATTCTAAATAGAATAGCTGTGGCAAAAACAAGCCAAGGTAGCTCCAATAGTGACAGGCTCCTTGGGTGCAATCCCAAAACATCTGGAGCATCCCTTGAACCCAATAGGCAGCTTTACTCGGAACAGCTTCCATCCTGTGATGATACCTTTAACGCCACCAAAGGACATCTGCCTATACCAGATCCTTGGAAAAGGCTCAACAACTGGAATAAAACACCAAATCCCATCTAAACACCTGGCTGACTGTTATAACGGATTAGCATAGGGGTATTCAAACTTGGCCCTTTTATGACTTGTGGACTTCAACTCCCAGAATTCCTCAGCCAGGCACGCTGGCTGGGGAATTCTGGGAGTTGAAGTCTACAAGTCTTAAAGTTGCCAAGTTTGGAGAGACTAGAACAGGGGTCTTCAAATTTGGCCCTTTTATGACTTGTTGGTTTCAACTCCCAGAATTCCTCAGCCAGGCACGCTGGCTGAGGAATTCTGGGAGTTGAAATCCACAAGTCATAAAAGGGCCAAGTTTGAAGAGCCCTGGATTAGCGTAACCAGGGCTGCGGTCTGATGTTTTCCAAGGGCCACCCCGGAAGGAGGGAGGGAAGGTGGCATCCTGCACTTTCAGGTAAGAGCCAGACTTCAATTCCCAGCATGCCCCGGGCTGGACTTCAACTCCCGGCAAGCCGCGCGCCAAAAGAAGAAAGGGCGCGTGGGGGGGAGGTCAGATTGAGCTCCGTTCATCGACCACTAAATAAAGGCAACAGAGGAAGAGCGGCGGATTTTTAAATCACGGTTCTGCGTGTCGTCCGGGTTGGGGTGGGAAGCCTGGTTCCACACCTACACGCATATATCTACACGGGTCATCCTGCATAACACATGCAGGGTTAAAAAAAGGGAAAACGTTGGATGATCAGCCACCTGGCGAGCATGTGAGGTGTGCAGGAGTAGACCGACTCCTGAATATGGACTAAGGAGGCTGGGAATGATGGGGATGGGAGTCCCAGTGCTACTTTTCCGAGCGGAGGAAGCTGGGAGTTCGCTCTTCCATCGCAAAGAGGTCTGATAAGAGGCGCACTGAAGGTGATATAGATACTTCCGGTTTCTCTTCGACGCGTGCGTCTGACTCGCCTTCCCGCTTGCCACTCAACCGCCCCGCAAAGTCGACAGAGAACCGGAAGTGCGGAGCGGCCCCTGCCAGTCCGCACGGGATCCCTCCGCCGCGCGCCTTCCTGCCTCGGTTCTTGGCGCGGACGGGCCCGAGCCGCCCCCTCCTTACTCACCGGCCGAAAGAGACGCCATGGCAGTCCGGGCTTGCGGAGCAGGAAGAAAATTCGGGTATTTTCCTTTTCAATTGCCAGAAAGAGAAGGGGGAAAAAAGCTCGGCGCACTTCCGTCCCCTCGGAAAAGCGCCGTCCGCCGATGCGCCTTTCCGGAGTCCCCGGAGGGATAGGAAGCGCCTTTAAAAAAAGAAAGCTGGAAAAGAAGCCGGCCCCGACCCGTATAAATATTAATTGCGGCCGCTCTGGAATGGCGGCGGGCGAAGCTGCCGGACGGGATTATGGCGAATCTGCGGCGCCCGACATGGCGGCGGTTTGAGCTTCCTCGAGTGACGTCAGAGCTGCGCGCGGGGAGGGCGGGGCCGTCCCCTTCGCTTAACGCGGTTGGGCGGAGCCAGGTCTCCCCATGGTGCGCCTGCGCGGTGATGGCGCCTCCTAGTGGCTACTAGAAAGTTTCAAAGCAGCTGGAGGGAATTTGCGCTGGATTTCTGCGGACTGGAAATTGGGAGTTCCCCAAATCGCATCACACTGAACGTGGAAGGGTGGTACATACTACAACAGCTGGTAGCAGTTAATTGACCGCTTTTCTCAAAAGGACGCAGTTAGTGCTTGGATGGGGGACCACCAGGAGATCCAAAGGCTGTGATAACAAAACGGAAATCGGGCAAGCCGCTTCCTTAATGCCAAGAAAACTGCATGGAAGACTCTCTGTACCCATCAGGCGTCAAATTCTTTTGGAATGGACTGTAGTTTTAATCAAAATGCAACACACTGGATTCTCACATTTCTGTACTGCCAAAAAGCGCCCACATTCAAATGTTTAGCAAACTTCCAGGAGTTGAGCTGCCTTGCAAATGTTTATGTAGACACAGCACGCAGTATACTCATTTATTCCATTTATATTCAGCCAGATTGTTAAGGACAATTTATTTTACTTGAAAAGCCTCAGAGGTGACAAACTGACCAGGGTAGAATGTCAGTGAAAAGAATTGTCATACGTTACTCAACAATTGTTCTGAATAGTTTGTATTTGCTACTAAGTTTCAGTCGAGTTTCTCACCCTCCCCGCCTCCCCCTTATTTGACAGTAAAGGCTACATCCCAACTTTGAAAGAATGAAAAACAGCAATGCATGAATGGAAAGTTAAGACTGGAAGACAATGTTTTCACTATTAACATTCAGTGGGTCTGCAACAATCCTCCTGGTCACTAAGCACAGCAAAGTACGGAGATTTTTGTATTTCTTGACTGCCATCTAGTGGCAATAATTTGTTGCAATCCAGATATAGAAGAATAGAAATTAGAATAGGACAAATAGAATAAACACAATTGGAAGGGACCTCAGAGGTCTTCTAGTCCAACCCCCTGCTTAGGCAGAAAACCCTATACCATTTCAGACAAATGGTTGTCCAATCTCTTCTTTAAAACTTCCAGTTGGAGCATTCACAACTTCAGGAGGCAAGTTGTTCCACTGATTAATTGTTCTCACTCTCAGGAAATTCCTTAGTTCTAAGATTGGTTCTCTCCTGGATTAGATTCCATTGCTTCTTAGCCTACCTTCAAATGCTTTGGAGAATAGCTTGACTCCCTCTTCTTTGTGGCAGCCCAAGATATTGGAAGACTGCTCTCATGTCCCCCCTCGTCTTTCTCTTCATTAAACTAGACATTCCCAATTCCAGCGACTGTTCCTTTTAAGTTTTAGCCTCCAGTCTCCTGATCATTTTCGTTGCTCTTCTCTCTACTTTTTCTAGAGTCTCAACATCTTTTTTACATCGTGGTGACCAAACCTGGGTGCAGTATTCCAAGTGTGGCCTTACCAAGGCATGATAAAGTGGTATTAATACTTCACGTGATCTTGATTCTATCCCTCTGTTAATGCAGCCCAGCTGCAGCACACGGCTGGCTCATATTTAAGTGATTTTCCACTAGAACTCTGAGATTCCTCTCAGTTACTACTAGGTACCTAAACTGTACCTGTGCACTTGGTTTTTCTTGCCTAAATGTAGAACCTTTTTTCACCATTGAATTTCATTTGTTAGACAGCACCTATCTAATATAGTAGCCCTAAGGTTACTTTCTGGCACGCTGGCTGAGGAATTCTGGCAGTTGTCCACAAGTCTTCAAAGGGCCAAGTTTGAAGACCCCTGACCGAAAGACTCTAAACACCACATGGGAAGTGTCTATGGAGATTCCCAATCATCCAGGTCATGGTTGTCCCAAAGGTGCTTTTACAAGAGGCAACTGGACTTCTTTTGTTTTTCCTTGAAGACATTTTGCTTTTCATCCAAGAAGATTCTTCAGTTTTGACAAAAGAACTGTCGGATGAGAAGTGAAATGTCTTCAAAGAAAAACAAAGGAAGTTCAGTTGCCTCTTGAAAAAGCACCTTTGGGAGAATCACGGGAAGACGCTGAAGTACTTGCCAGAGACATCCCTTGCTGCCCGATTAGCTACACAGCATGGGAAGATCTAATGCTAATGCTACAATTTTCCTGAACTTCACACTCCTGTGAAGGCCTGCATTAACACTCTGGGCTGATGGACAAAAGCCAGCCGTAGAATCAAAATGGCTGCATTTCCCAGACCAGAGAGGTCACTTTGGTAGGGTTTTTTTGTTTTTGGTAGTTGTTTATCCTCACTTAAAAGGAATGGATTCGAGCAGATGACCGGTCTGCCTTGTCCTCAACATGGGATGCTCAGCAAGGCTCGTCATTCCAAGTCAGTTGAAGTAAACTTCCATTCCCCTCAGCCTAGGGGTAGGCAACCTTGGCTCTTTTATGACTCGTGGACTTCAACTCCCAGAATTCCTGAGCCAGCCATGCTGAGGGGAAAGGGAGGTTTCCAAGCTGAGCCATGCTGGCTCAGGAATTCTGGGAGTTGAAGTCCACAAGTCATAAAGCGGCCTAGGCCTAGGCCAGAGGTAGGCACCCTTGGCTCTTTTATGATTCATGGACTTCAACTCCCAGAATTCCTGAGCCAGCATGGCTCAGCTTGGAAACCTCTCCTTTTCCCCTCAGCACGGCTGGCTCAAGAATTCTGGGAGTTGAAGTCCACGAATCATAAAAGAGCCAAGGTTGCCTACCCCTGCAGCCCAGCCGTTTCATGTGATAAAAGCCGAGTGTTGGATGTTTGCATGAACTAAGAATCAGCAGCAATGTTTTCAGACATCAACTATGCCAAATTTAAGGAAAAGAAATAAAAGCGAAGCCTCCTTTATCAAACCTGAACTTTCCCCTGAACGCCGTTAACAAGCAACCGCAACGTTCAGAATACAGGTAGTCCTCAGCCATACGACCACAATAGACTCCCAAATTTCTGTTAAGTGAGACGTTTGTGAAAACTTAAGTTTGGCCCCATTTTACGACCTTTCTTGCCACAGATATTAAGTGAATCACTGCAGCTGGTAAGTTAGTAACCTGTCTTTAAGTGAATCTGGCTTCCCCATTGACTTTGCTTGTCAGAAGTTCTCAAAAAGGAGATCATATCCCCCCCTCCCGGATGCTGCATCGGTCATAAGTATGAACCAGTTCTCAAGCGTCTGCATTTTGATCACCTGATCATGGGGAAGGCTGCAAAAGTCGTAACTCTGAAAAATGGGCCCAAGTCACGTTTTCAGTGCCGTTGTAACTCTGAACCGCCACTAAATGAACTGGTGTAAGTCGAGGACTGCCTGTACATTTAAAGCAACAGACATTTTTGTAAATGGCGAAGAAAAAAAACGGGGACTGTACTTTTTTCTTCCTTTAAATATTTATTAGTTTTTAATAGCGCTGAAGGACATATTTAAAAAACAACATCACAGCAAGAACAAAGGAATAAAAATTATGCTCAGCTATTAAAGAAAACATGTAGGATTCTGTAAACCAAAGATACAGAATAGCTAACAAAAGCATGAGGACAAACCAAGACATGAGTAACTTGGCGGATCTTTCCTTGGGCTACTAGGGATCTCCAAAGGGGCCCAAAAGTGGGCTATAAAACTCTAATAATTAATAATATTAATATTTCATTGTCCTTCCAACTAAATAGTGATAATGGCTTCTTCAATGCTTTACGTATTTAAGTAAGGCTATGATGGAGGCGCCCAAATACATTTAACCTTTTGAATTTATATGAAATCTGCTTTGTAATTAGTCATCACCAGCTTATTCGGAAGTTGGATTTCAGATGCGACTGCACCTTCCCGTGACTAGAACATTTGTGTCTTTAAACATGCAAAGGGCTAGTTGTTTCTTTGTGCAATTTAATATCTTCTTTTCCTCAGGAGCAAACAGCAGCTGCCACCTTCTGTTTTTCAATTTTTCCCCCCCACCACAAAAAAAATTGATGGGGTAATTGAGTAGAGATGCACTGATTTGAGAGAGATGTGTGTGACCATAACACAGCGGACTAAAGTCAACTTGTAAAAAGAGTTGGCAGCATGCACATGTGACAACAATAAACAAATAGAGGAAAAGATAGGACACATCCAAACGTTCAGGAGCATATAGTGCTATTCCTAAGTTTCAGATGTCAGTGAAGTATTCTGTCTCTGTTTTCCCTAATCATTCAGCTCTCAACGGGATGCCAAGAAGCTTAATGAATGTACGAAAGTGTGTGGGTGTTTCTCAAGTTGTCCAAAACTGTAATCTTTAAGAAGCAGAAATGCTCAGGGTCTCCTGTTTGAGAAAATAAGCAAATAGCACTACTCGGTCTTAGAGGGAATATATTAAAGCAAAAATTGGGGGGGGGGAGAATTGGATAGAGGGGGGGGGAGGCAACCTTGGCTCCTTTATGACTCGTGGACTTCAACTCCCAGAATTCCTGAGCCAGCCATGCTGAGGGGAAAGGGAGAGGTTTCCAAGCTGAGTCATGCTGCCTCAGGAATTCTGGGAGTTGAAGTCCACGAGTCATAAAAGAGCCAGGGTTGCCTGCCCCTGGCCTAGATGATAGGAAGCTTGGTTCTTTTATGACTTGTGGACTTCAACTCCCAGAATTCCTGAGCCAGCATGGCTCAGCTTGGAAAACTCTCCCTTTCCCCTCAGCATGGCTGGCTCAGGAATTCTGGGAGTTGAAGTCCACGAGTCATAAAAGAGCCAAGGTGGCCTACCCCTGGCCTAGGCCTAGGCCGCTTTATGACTTGTGGACTTCACTCCCAGAATTCTTGAGCCAGCATGGCTCAGCTTGAAAACCTCTCCCTTTCCCCTCAGCGTGGCTGGCTCAGGAATTCTGGGAGTTGAAGTCATGAGTCATAAAAGAGCCAAGGTGGCCTACCCCTGGCCTAGGCCTAGGCCGCTTTATGACTTGTGGACTTCAACTCCCAGAATTCTTGAGCCAGCATGGCTCAGCTTGAAAACCTCTCCCTTCCCCTCAGCGTGGCTGGCTCAGGAATTCTGGGAGTTGAAGTCCACGAGTCATAAAAGAGCCAAGGTGGCCTACCCCTGGCCTAGGCCTAGGCCGCTTTATGACTTGTGGACTTCAACTCCCAGAATTCTTGAGCCAGCATGGCTCAGCTTGAAAACCTCTCCCTTTCCCCTCAGCGTGGCTGGCTCAGGAATTCTGGGAGTTGAAGTCCACAAGTCATAAAAGAGCCAGGGTGGCCTACCCCTGGGATAGACCTTACAATAATCTCTGCCTCAAGGCTAATAGCATTGCAATTGGCTTTTGCTGCCCATAATGATCAATGGCCTAACTCTGTACAGGTAGTCCTCCATTTCCAGCCACAATTTCTGTTGCTAAAGGAGGCATTTGTCAGGCGAGTTTTGCTTAATTTTACCACCTTTCTGCCCACAGCTGTTAAGTGGATCACGGCAATTGTTAAAGTCAGTAAGGCGGTTGTTAAGCAAATCTGGCTTCCCCATTGACTTTGTTTGTCAGAAGGTCACAAAAGGGGACATGAACCCCGGGACAGCGCAACCGTCATAAATGTGACACAGTTGAGCAGCGTCTGACTTTTGAGCTCGTGAAATTGGACATGTTATAATAATGGTCGTAATCTTGAAAAATGCTCGTAAGTCACTATTTGAACTTTGGAAAAAGTTCAGAGAAGAGCAACTAAGATGATCCAAGGCCTGGAGACTAAAACATATAAAGAACGGCTACGGGACTTGGGTTTGCCTGGTCTAAAGAAAAGAAGAAATAGGGGAGACATGATAGTAGCATTTTAGTATTTGAGGGGCTGCCACAAGACAGAGGGGGTCAGGGGGTCAGCACCAGAGGGAAGGATGAGAAACAGTGGTTGGAAACTGATCAAGGAAAGAAGCAACCTGGAATTAAGGAGAAACTTCCTGACAGTGAGGACAATCAACCAGTGGAACAGCTTTGCCTTCAGAAATCGTGGGCGCTCCATCACTGGAGGTTTTTAAGAAGAGACTGGGACAGCCACTTGTCTGAGATGGTATAGGTCCTCCTGCTTGAACAGGGGGCTGGACTAGACCAGGGCTTTTTAACCCGTGGTACGGGTACCACCTGTGGTACATTGGTACCTGGCAGGTGATACGTGACCATCCTAGAAAAGTAGTAGCGGGGGAGGGGAATGAGCTGAACCGATGGCAGCACCGCACAAGCCTGAGCGAGAGATGGCTGGAGCTGCAGGGCTGTCAGGGCTCAGCGGAAGCGCCAGGATCAGTGCCGCTTTCCAGCTGATCGGCGTTTCTTCGGGGCTGTCAGGGCTCAGTGGAAGTGCCAGGATCAGCGCCAGGCTCCAGCTGGAAAGCAGCACTGATCCTGGTGCTTCTGCTGAGCCCAGAAGTGCCAATCAGCTGGAATGTTGCAGCATCTCCAGGGTCTTGTGATTTACATTCAGATGCTTGGCAACTGATTCATATTTATGACGGTCACAGTGTCCCAGGGTCATGTGAAGCGACCAAAACCTGCTGCAACCACCCAGCAGACGGGGGGAATAAAAACCAAACACCCCCCATCCCACCCCTGCTGCCAATCCTCAACAGAAATTCTCACAATGAAAACCTCGGACAGGAGGAAGAGCGCCGCTGGGTGGGCAGGCAGGTGTCTTGCTTGGCTGTGGCTTGGGGGGCAATTTTTCAATGTCATTGTAACTTCGAACAGTCACTAAGTGAACTGTTGTAAATCGAGGACTATCTGTAGTTTATTACTTTTTTCCCTTTTTTTTTTTGGTCATCATGTTTTTGACACCTTGCTAGGCGACTGGTGGTACTCAGATATTGCCATATCCTAAAAGTGGTACAATGGGTGAAAAGGTTGAAAAGCCCTGGACTAGAAGACCTCCAAGGTCCCTTCCAGATTCTATTCTATTCTATTCTATTCTTATTCTATTCTTCTGTTCTATTCTCAATATTCTATTTATTCTACTCTATTCTACTCTGTGTTGTAAATTTGAATAGTCACTAAACAAACTGTTTTAAGTTGAGAACTATCAGTATGTGTTAACCACATTTACTGATCTTGACAAATCCAGGAGAGGAAAAATAGATCAACCCCCAGGAATTGATCACTCAGGCACTTGTCCAGAAAAATCTGACATTCCCCTTTAAAGTCAACTGGAGAATTTTATCATCCATATTGCCAGATATTTTTTTTCCCTCCTCTCAGCCAAAGCCTTTATTATAGATCCCAGAAGAAACAGGCAGACCTCAGTACCTGCCAGCTTTGAAACAAAGCCTCTTTATAATGGATCTTTTCCTTCCAGCGTTGTTTATAAGTAGCCGGAAGTAGCAAACATCGGACTGAAAGCTATGTTTCCCAGCTGCCAGTCGGGGATGTTTACAACATCAGACTACCATTCTTTGGGGTGCAGGGACGGCTCATCTGGAAAAAGACAGAAAATTAAAAGTGGGTGAAAAACACATTTCTAGGTTCTCCTTTATTTTAAAGCACACGTACTGGAAACAATATAGCAATGGCAATAGCACTTAGACTTATATACCGCTTCATAGCGGTATATAAGTCTGCTATTGCCATTGCTATATTGTTTTACAGTCCCCTCTAAGCGGTTTACAGAGTCAGCATATTGCCCCCAGCAATCTGGGTCCTCACTTTCCTGACCTCGGAAGGATGGGTCACACTAAGACAGCTGATTGAATATAATCTTTGGTTCAGTTACAATTAGATTTTCGTTAGTCCGAAAGTTTCTATGTCACGTGCTGATAAGTTAGAGCAGAGGTCCCCAATCCCGGTCCGTGGACCAGTACTGGGCCACCGCATGCCAGCAACCGGTCCGCACAAACAAGCAAAGCCCCATCCGCGAGATGCAGGCAGTACACAAAAGCACACACCCTGCGGTCTGCAGAAAAAACTCTCCACAGAACCGGTCCCTGGTGCCCAAAAGGTGGGGGACCTCTGAGTTAAGAGTGATTTTTTTATGGTGCACAATAAATCAACATTATGTACAATAGGCTTCGTTGTGACTACCGCATACATGCAAGGCAAATAACACCAAATAATCTAAGTCCAAAGGGGGGGGGGAAGATCCAATATTTTCTGGAAAGCTTTTATCAGGATTATGTGATCGCAAATACCTGAATCCTGCCGTTTGACTGCATACGGTGATTGGATCCCATCTGGTATTGTCTTACGGTATTATACTGCGATTTGCCCAGCGTCAATTGGAGCTGGATGATGCCTAGATTGAATTGAATAAATTCCAATAAGTTGGGTTCCACTTCCTGGATATTGATCTTGTAGTAACTGAGCAGTATCTCAACAACTGAGTATTTCAGCAGGCCAAAACCCCATTCTTAAATATAAAATAACAGAGAGCAGAGGCCAATCTTCTACAAGTTCGACATCATAAAACAAAGAAATTCAATACATATATAAATATGAGATGCCGTGGTTACAGGTAGTTCTTGATTTACGAGTATTTGTTTAGTAACTGAAGTCAGACTGCAATGAAAAAAGTGACTTACGGCAGGTTTTAATCAACAGGATGATAATCAGATGTTGACTATGGGGGTTTCCACCTTATTTTGAAGTCTGATCTCCACAACACAATTAGGTGGAAGCATGTCACAGCCTGAACAAAGGAGATTCCTGAAGACCTCAGAAAAACAGCCTTTGATGCTGAACAGGCTGGAAAGGATTTCAAAATTATTTCTCAAGACTTTGCACTCCACAGGTTCACGGTCGAGCAGATGGTATACAAATGGAGGAAATTCGACACCCTTGTTCCTGGTGGCTCTTGACTGATGCCCACAATTCAGCCCAAAATTTAACCATTGTTAAGTGAGTCACTGCAGTTGTTAAGTTAGTAACACAGTTGTTAAGTGAATCCGGCTTCCCCACTGACATTGCTTGTCAGAAACGGTGATGACATGATCCCGGGACACAGCAACCATCGTAAATATCTACCAGTTGCCAAGCGTCCAAAGTTTGATCACATGATCATGGGCAAGGGTAGGCAACCTTGGCTCTTTTATGACTCGTGGACTTCAACTCCCAGAATTCCTGAGCCAGCCACGCTGAGGGGAAAGGGAGAGGTTTCCAAGCTGAACCATGCTGGCTCAGGAATTCTGGGAGTTGAAGTCCACAAGTCATAAAAGAGCCAAGGTGGCCTACCCCTGGCCATGAGGATGCTGCAACTGTCGTGTCACTTTTTTTTAGTACCGTTGTAACTTCAAGATTACCAGTAACCTCCCTGGGAGTGGCCGATCAACCAACCAAGACCATACCAAGAATAAGACATCTCAAAGAATCCCGATGCAACAGTAAAGAACTTGAATTGTCAGCCACATCGAGAATTGTTTACTGAGATTGGCAGCTATAGAAATGAAATCAAACCGATTAGACCAGTGGTTCTCAACGTTTGTGTGACGGCGACCCTCGTCACAAAAACGTTATGCGCATGCACAGCGTGCATGCGCGGCGGCGCCCCCATGCGCGGCACCGCCCCCTGAGGGGAGAAAATGGCGAAACGCCGCCTTTGGCGACCCCCGAAAAATGGTCGATCGACCCCAAATGGGATCGCGACCCATAGGTTGAGAACCACTGGATTAGACGAATATATGAATAAATGAATGAATGAATGGCCCCCTTTGCATTGGCCAATGTTAAGTGTCAGACCACCATCAGCAGAACACCAAACACCAATGGTCTTCATGGCAGGCTTGCAAGGAGACAGCTTCTACTCTCCAAGAACACTACTACACATCTACACTTTAGAAAGGCCATCTGTGATTCAGAATAGAGCTGGAGGGGACCTTGGAGGTCTTCTAGTCCAACCCCCTGCTCAAGTAGGAGACCCTATAGCAGGGGTGTCAAAATGCTGGCCCATGGGCCAGATGCATCATAGCAAAACCACGCCCATCCCATTGCCGGCAATGGGAAAAAGTCGCAATATGTCGCGACACGTCATGTGATGTTACGAGTTTGACACCTCTGCCCTATACCATTTCAGACAAATGGCTGTCCAGTGTCTTCTTAAAAACCTCCTGTGTTGAAACACCCACAGCTTCTGGAGGCAATTTGTTCCATTGGTTGATTGTTCTCACTGTTAGATTCAGATTCAGAATAATAATAAGAGTTGGAAGGGACCTGGATGAGGCAGAAAGTCTACTGGAAGAATGTCATATGGATGGATGCAAAACAAAATTAAAAAAAAAAAAAACCTTTCCAACTGGAAATTTCATCTGGAATATAGATGGGCACCTTCACTGATTGCTTTTGGGAAGCTACCGAAGACCGTTCCAGTGGGTGCTTGACAGATGAATGGACATCATTGTGCATATTGTTCACCTGTGTATTTTGACTAATTTCCACTTTATATTTTTCCAATTTTTTTTTGAAAATGATCCTCGTCAACTGCTGGGACTTGACATGGAACCCAGCAGCACATAAATATAACAAACATTTTCTTCAATAAAGTTATTCTGACATCTGAGCCATCTGAAAAGCTGAATTAGCCAGAAAATCCATCTCTCCTTGATAAACATTACAATTGCTGTTTCTTTAAAAAGTCAAAGCTGCACTTTTTAGAGGATTTCTTCACGTTAAGAGGAGAAAAAAACAGCAACAAGGTGCAAGAAATGACGATTCGTGTGCAGAAAAATCCTGTGATCTACTTCCGACATCATATCTTTAACCTTCAGATAGGAGACAGTGAAAGTTCCGTCACGATGGCTCCCCATGCTGTTGACATTTAGCATAAACAGATTCCTCACCTGACATTAAAAAGTAAACTTCACTGATGCACACAAGTATTGTTCTTAGGTGAGAGACGAGTCAATTCGGGGCAAGGAGATTGAAGTCTTCTGTGCTGGATGAATCAGCTCTAGACGTGCAGTTTGGAAAGTTAATTTCTAGAAACATCCAACTGTTTGGAAGGTTGTAACAATCCTACCTCGGATTCAATTTGAGCTAACAATGAAAAAAGAATAGGTATGGCTTCTTGGTTCAGTCAAGCAGCACGGCGAAAGTCCATACTGCCACATTTTGGACTACTCAACAACTCTTAGAAAGAGTGCTAAAGACTGCAAGGAATGCAAATCCTTCCATCCTCCACCATTCAGTCAGAACTGAATAAACTTCTTTGATGAGAAGGGAAATGTCTTCAGGAAAAAAAAAACAAAGTCCAGCTGCCTTTTGAAAATGCACCTTTGGGACAACCATGACGTGGATGACTGAGAATCTACAAATGTGTTGTGATTCCTCGCCAGTCAGTGGACCCGGCAGCTGAGTCTGAGGAATCAGAGGAGGAGGGGGGCCTGGAGTGACATCACAGTCAGAGGAAGGCTCTGAGGAGTTCCAAGACTTACAGTCTGATAAGGAGCCTGGCCCCTCTACTCACGCTCAGGCTGAGACACAGCTGTGCTGGGACCCTGAGTTGGACAGTGATGAAGAACAGCTGGGACAAATCCCAGATGCACGAAAGCGCAGGCAAGAGAAGCGAGTAGGACAGAGGAATGCAATGGGACGACTCCAAAGGCAAAGGAGAAGGCATTAGGAAGCCACGCCTTGGCTGCATAATAAAAGGGAAGGTGTGGGAGGTGCTGGTTGCCAAAGGCAACCATTTGTGTTGAGGAATTGAGTTTCCGTGATCTGTGTTTGTCTGCCTTGGACATTGACTCAGGTCTATGAATAATAAAAGGGGATTGGTTTTTTCCTGCGGTTCCAGTTCTTGTTGGAAGAGGGGTTTCTCTTGTTGAGCTTAACAAGGACTCACGTAGGCTGGGACAGAACAGAATGTAGAAAACTTACATCTTGGTATTAAGACTGAAGACAATTAAAGTTTGATGGCTTTGCATAGAGTAGTCAACTAGCTCAGTCCTCTTAAATATAGGTAATCCTCAAGTTACGAATGTAATGGAGCCTACCAATTACATTCATAACCTGAAGATTTGTTGGGGTGAATCAGGTAAAATGAACGTGAAAATTCCCTGCTTTCGCGCACATTCTTTAATCGAATGTGCAGATTGTTACATGCACATGAGGGATCTCAGAGTGGGGAAGGCCATGGGGGGAAGGCCATGGAACAGGCCACCTGCTTAAGACCATCCAAGGTCTCCCCCGGCCCATTGAGACACCTCAGGCTCCCCACAATTGCTTTCCTCCCCCCTCCATCCTGCTGTGATCTCGCGGGACATCCACTTTTCCAGAGAATGGGGGCCTGAAGTCCCGTGAGAAGTTTCCCAGAAGCTTCCAGTCTCTGTGCAAAAAGTTTGCAAGCCGACGGGAGGCTTGAAGCAATGTGATTTTGAAGCAGCAGGCAGCCTCGGTGAGTCAGAGAAACTGAGCAGGATGTGCTCGTCCCGCTCTCCCTCTGCTCTCACCGCTCCCCTTTTGGAGCGCCGAGAGCAGGCAAAGAAACCGCGGCAAAGAGGCCGGAGAGGAAAGAGAGAGAGAGAGCTAGATCTTCGCAAGGTGAATCTCCACAGGCCCAGTCCCTGTGGAGACACGGCAGGTGGCAGTGGGGAGAGGCAGTGCAAATGTTGCAGTGCCTCTGTGGTCATTTGTAAGGGTGAATGACTGCCATGGTGCTGCAACATTCATAACTTCAGGATTGTATCGTAAGTACTTGGGAGGGTGATGTTGTAATTTTGAACAGCCGCTACACAAATTTTCATAACTCGAGGATTACTCTATTTTTAATTTTGCTTCTGCATAAGCTTGTATCATTATGTTATCCATAAAATTCAAACATATTGTTAATGTGTTCTAATTGGGCAGCAACTATTGTTGATCAATGTCCCACAGACCAGCCATTCTCAGACGTGGTCATCTCAGGACCCGTTTCGTTCCTTAAAAACAATTGAGGGCCTGAAAGAATTTTTGGTTTATGTGGGTAGAAGAGAATATTTGTAGATCAGAGGTAAATGGTAAGCTCCTTGGTGCTCTCTGAGCTTGGCTGTTTTCTTGCAGACGTTTCATTACCCAACGAGGTAACGTCCTCACTGATAATATTACCTCACTGGGTAATGAAATATCTCCAAGAAAACAACGAAGCTCAGAGAGCACCAAGGACCCCATATAGTTTATGTAAGTTATATTTATTGATAGTTACTGTATGAGAAATTGAAATGGAGAAATGTTAAATATTTATTTGACTTTTCTGGACCCCCTGAAAGAATTCTGGGGACACCCAGGGCTTCCACACACATACTTTCAAAACCACTGCCGTAAAACAATCAAAGTTAGAGGGGTTTTTTTAAAAGAAAGAAATACTATTTCCTGCTTGTGAAAGACTCCCAAGATATACAGATAGTCCTCAACGTACGACCACAATGGAACCCAAAATGTATGTCGTTAAGCGATAAATTTGTTCAATGAGTTTTGCGGCTTTTCTCGCCACATTTATTAAGCGAATCACTTCAGCTGTTAAATTAGCAACACGGTTAAGTGAATCTGGTTTCTCCATTGACTTTGCTTGCCAGAAGGTCGCAAAGAGGATCACGTGACCCCAGGACACTGCAACCATCATAAATATGAGTCAGTTGCCAAGCGTCTGAATTTTGATCACGTGACCATGGGGATGCTGCAACGGTCGTAAGTGGGAAAAATGATCGTAAGTCACTTTTCTCAGTGCCGGTCACTAAGTGAACTGTTGTAAATCAAGCACTACCTGTATTTAAACTTTAAATGGGTTGAAATTCTTCCAAAAGTCTGTGTCTCTTAGTCAGACTAAACAATGACATAGAACTAGATTCCTTGGTGAGGAATCTAAATTATTAGCACAGAGATGACCTTCCCTGACCCAATTTCATTTGGATCAGTGAACGTTAACTGTTTTTTTGTTAGCTTCTCTTCTGCTGCTGCCCTAACCCTTTTGGGGAAAATAGACAC